TTTTTTTGAAAGACTTATTTTTCTCACGACCCCTAATATGGACGTCGGAATGGGAATTTTTAAAACTGACATTCCAAAACCATACCAGGGCTGTTTGAGACCGTTGAAAGGTGAATAAGGTATCAAGAATAGGAGTAAAATATATGCTTAATTATCGGATACTATTTTTAAAGTGGGGGGAAGCATGAAATACAAGAAATAATACCCGAAGCGAGCGACAAAAAAGAGGCGGCGTAAATCGAAGGTTTTTACAACGCTTGGATCTGTAGCTCTCTGCTTTGTCTGTCCGAATTTTCTCAAGCAGAGAGTTACAGTTCTGCAGCTACATGTAACTTAATACCAGAATCCAAAATGCATTATTATTTATCCATTCAAACAATGCAAATCATAAATTGAGCAAATACGGACCTCTAAACTTTATTCACTGTTAATAATGTAAACTGTAGTTAGCATCTATAAGTGAATCTATTGATAGAAAACATAAATATGCCGTTAATTAAATATTAAAAAAATATTCCGTTTGAGTTTTCTACACATGTACTTAAAACTAAAACGAATTCAATATTTGGGACAAGAATGCTTTATTAATATCAAGTCAATTAAAAGCATAAGGCTTTCAGGATTTACTTTCTTGTTATATATCTTTATTTATCAGTAATTATGAATATTCTATATTAGTTAATAGATTACTATTTATTATCTACTCCAGTGATCTCTAGTAAACGTCCATTAGCGAATCAATTTACAAAAGTGCACGTTACTGTATATAAATTGTATCTAAAACGTTTGAAGATAACAGACCTGGAGGAATAAGATATGAAATACAACTCACACATAAAGAAAATATTTATCGTGTTGGTAAGTCCAAGTTTTTTTGAATTTATTTATTTATTTATTTAATTTCATTGAAATGTATCTTTCTGTTGGCGCTTTCTTCGTTATTCTTCCTGACAAAACTTTGAAAAAAAGAAAAATTAAAAAAAATTCATAATAAAAAAAAAATATTCACTCGATGAAAATTTATCCCCAAAAATTATAACTTTCCATCATTTATTTATAAGTTACTAAATGAAATGGGAATCGAATTTTAACCACTGCTGACGGAATAATTCCAGTAACATTTCTTACAGCACTGACAGGTAATTACAGGATTATAGCAGGAAAACATACTCTGTTCAAAGTCATGCAGCTGGTTAAGGAGCAGTAGATAAACCCTCCCCTTTCCCGGTCTTTCTTTTCTTTGTTCTCTTTACATATTAGCAACTTTATTTTCAGGCCTGATGTATTATTTTATGCGTATTGCACTTCGAGGGTACTCCATTTCCAGTAAGAATTAAGGAAGTGAATGTGCATAGTTTACTGAATTTGTCAGCCAATTTTTTTTCGGAGGGGGGGGGGTGTTAAATGTTAGCTTTTCACGCCTTATGAATAGGCCTAGTATTTAATATGAAAGACTGCATGCAGAAAAATTGATTAAAACACGATTTTAAAAGCTTTAGTAAAAATGTGAAAACTTAGAATGAACCACTCTTTTAACAGTAATCAGAACTTATTTCTTCTGTGTACTGAGTAACTTAAATCAAGTTTTCAATGAGGAATTCATTAATGACGTTTTATCAAATAATTAAACGATTACTTGTCAGGTTTATTAAAAATTCTAAAAACTTAGACCACCAACCATAACCGCTATCGTACTCTCTTTTTGCTATTTCACGTCTGTTTAACGAAATTGAAAGTAGACTTTTAATTAAATCAATATGCGAATGAAATCTGAATATAATTTACTGACATCATCTCATACCTAGTGTAAGGTATAGTAATTATAAACTCTGATACAGGCGTTTTGGAGTTTATTTGCAAATTTTATTAATTTACAAGTAAAGGTTTACATTAAAAGGAAAAGAATGCTGCTTTGCTTGTATATTAGCTGGTTTTCGATAGAGGGTGAATTCAAAATCATTACCACTAAATTGAATTTTTTTGAAAAAAAAAAAATAAATAAATAAACTACCCATAACATATTTTTCACTTAGATCATCATACTGTAAATGTATTCTAGTAAATTCCTGAATTTGCAATAGAATAGACAATTTGATAAAAAAGTTTTCGAACTTTTATTATTAAAAATTTATTTGAAAAAAGAAAATATCACTTCATTCTAAAAAAAAAAAAAAAACTTTCTCAAATACATAACCAAAAGAAATTAGAGTTTTTTATGCTTCAAAATGGTATCAGAAATATAAATGATTAGATCTAAACCTTGTTTGTCTTCTCTTGCATATTTGGAAAAAATAGCTTTTGACTTTTATAATTATATATTATTTTTTAAATTCTGGTTTAAAAAGTTTTAATATTAAAGAAATACAACAAGATAAAATTCACCAAAAATCACTTTTTTGTCCATTTACGTCACTTCTTTAAATTCAAGCTCAAAAAGAATTTTGGTATACAAATTTTCTTACAAAAAATACTAGATTTTGAAGTGACTCTTTTTTGCATTATTATGTTGCACTCCTGACATCTAATATGTATTTTATTTAACATTGTTTTAAAAATTAAAATACACAAAAACACATTCTTAGTTTGTAAATCAGTTGGTCGTTTTGATATGTTTTATCATTCACAGCAAGCTTTTCATAGTTTCAGGAATTCAAAACGGGATTATTTGCAATGTGTTATATCCATACATTGCATTTAAAAATATGTGTAAAGTGATGAAAACTTTTTTTTCTTAATTGGCTATAAAATATCTGTCATGATATTTTGAACATCAAATAGTATCAAACATTTCTTTCTCAATTTATAAGTCCCCTACCGGTGAAACCGGAGGGGACTATAAGTTTCCTCTGAGTCTGTCCGTCCGTCTGTCTAGCTGTCCGTCTGTCCCTCTGTCTGTCTGTCAGTCTGTCCCACTTGGTTTTCCGCAATTTTTTTCTAAACGCTTGCAGATATTGAGCTGATTTTTGGTATGTGAGTACAGGTATATCTTAATGAGTTACAGATCAAGTTTGCATTTCGTTCCACTTTGATGATTTTGACGGAATTACGACCTGTTCAATTTTTCAGGGTTTTCCGCAATTTTTTTCTAAACGCTTGCAAATATTGAGCTGATTTTTGGCCTGTGACTTAACCTTGATGAGTTATAGATCAAGTTTGCATTTCGTTCCGCTTCATTGATTTTTGTCGGAATTGTGGCATTTCAATTTTTAGCGGGAACCAGATTACACTTGCCGGTAGGGGACTAGTATTGCTAATGCAATACCCCCAAAATGCTTGTTATTTTAATAAAGATAGATGAAGATCATTGATAATTATAAACAGTTTTGTTGCACTCCTGTCTGCAATAAAAATGAAAATTTGCAACATCAAGTGGAAACGAAATTGTGCAATATTTATAGTCCAATACTTCATCATTAAAACACATGAAAGTATTTAAACTTGGCTTTATATCTTGAATTACTCCCTATTTATGAAAAAAAAGAAACTAGATAAAATATACATGTATATTTAAAAGATAAAATATGTTTTATAGTATATTTCCTTCACAGAACAAACACTGTTAGACCGTTCACGGTAGCTCAGTTGGTAGAGCGCTCGCTCCGTGATCGGGAGGTCGTGAGTTCGAATCTCGGCCGCGACTGACCTAAGCCGATAAAAAATAGGTAGCAACTCTTCCTTCGCCAGGCACTCGGCACTTTGAAGTGAAAGTTGCGTGTCCTTCGGATGAGACCTGAAAATCCGAGGCCCCATGTCACGGTAGGCGTTGGCACGATAAAGATCCCTCACTGCTCAATGACCCTGAGTGCCGAGTAAAGGTCAAAATTTGAAGCCCTTCACCGGTATATGGTGACGTCTCTATATGAGTGAAAAATTCTCGAATGGGACGTAAAACAACAATCAATCAATCAATCAAACACTGTTAGCAACTGAGGTCAATAGAAACATGCTACTCACCATTTTTTTCTTTATATTTATTCATATTTGATCAGCAATAATTCTAACATATTTGTTGCACTCCTGATCAAGAGCATGGGAGTCTCTAAAGTAGAATTTCGAAGTAAAAATTACCCCAGAACTTGTTTCGTTGTTTCTGTGAAATTGAGGTGGAATTACTTGAATTCCATAGCAATTTTCCAGTGTGTTTATGTTTTTACATTCATAAAAAAAATCAAAGAAAAGATAAAAACAAATCTAAATTAATAAAGTTGAAAAAGAGGATTTCAACATTAAAACTGTCAATAATTTAGTACCAAACTATTCAAATAGATCATTTTTAATTAAAGAATATTTCTTAGCATGAATCGAAGCCTTTTCATCATACATTAATAACTTGAATCTTTAAAAGAATGTGTTGCATTCGATCATTACCATAGAAATATAGATCTGAAATACAGACAGACCCTGTAATTTATAAATCTATTTGATGAAAATGTTCTTGGTGTCTTTATTTTACGAAATAAAAATCAGAGAAACATATAATGAGAAGAGTTTTTTCATGCTTGGGAAAAAAACATCAAATTTTGCACTCCTGACATTATTGGGTTTGAACAAATATTTGACTCTCATTAATGCTGCTTCTTGTGATTTATATAAAAAAAGTTGATAGACATAATATTTTTAACATCAAATAGTATCAAACATTTTTTTTTCAAATTATTTTCTTTAATAAAGATAGATGAAGATCATTGATAATTATAAACAAAAATTGAAAATTAAAACTTTAGAACACGAAGATTCATAAAGTGTTTGCAACATCAAGTGGAAACGAAATTGTGCAATATTAATAGTCCAATACTTCATCATTAAAACACATGAAAGTATTTAAACTTGGTTTTATATCTTAAATGTTTAAAAAAAAACTAGATAAAATATATATTTAAAAGATAAAATATGCACTCCTGGCATACATGTATTTGAATATTATCAGAAAAGTCATTATTTCGAACATAAACCATTATTATTTATTTCACAGATCTTCAAAAAAATATTGAATTGTCAAAATGTCTCAAAAAGGTGTTGCTGTTCTGACATTTTTAGCATCAGTATTGGGTATAACTTTTTTGTGAATTGAGATATTAATGAGATACATGTATCTGGAAGGTATTTAGACACTATCTAAACACATATGCTAAGACATAGAAATTTATTCCCACTGCCCTGTATTTTAGTGCAGGCTGAAAATACATGTATGTGTTGTTTTTTTGTTTTTTTTTTAATTCACCCTAAACGCGTGGCAAGATTAATTACCTATTGTTTGCCATATTGGAGGTCAACATGCCAAGATTCCTTAGTTTTTGCAACTTGTCATGCAGGGCAGTGGGGTGAAGATAACAGTTTTTCTCACGAATACATGTTAAAAGAAGCTTCATTAAATTCATAATTTAGTGTTTTAAAGATTTTTGCCATTATTTTTCTTGCATTACTTATTTAAAATCGGTTGCTCTAAGGGGAAAATTCACTAATTTGACCTTCAAGATGGCGGCCACGGGAAATAGCTCGAAAGGAAAATACATCATAGGAAAACTATCTGAATTTTTTTTTCTAAGTAACAATCATTATTAATACGTGATTCTTGGTACATGAATGCCCTTAATATATATATAAAAAATTCTTGAACAAATTTTCATAGCAAATCAAAGTTCCAAGGTGAAGTTTCAAATCATATTTAAGTATTATTGTGACGCAGTATGTACTCTAAATAAACTATATTTTTTTAACTGTACGTTAACTATATTAATAATAAAAAATAGGTTTTACAACAATACATACAACATAAGGTACTTTGAAAAATTAACTGTTAACTCTATTAGTTTACATATCATTGATCTATATGTTTATCTCAGGTCGCACTGACCATCACAACATGCCGTGGCAATCTCTTTGGAAACGGATTTTGGGCTGAATCTAATGATTGGTCAGCCGTTAATGCCTTTGGTGATGACACTGCCAGTGATTTTGGTGATGGCATAGCCGGTGGTTTTGGAGGTCATTCTGCCGATGGTTTTGGTGGTCACACTGCCGATGGTTTCGGTGATGGCACCGCAGATGGTCGTGGTGAAGGCACCGGCGATGGTCGTGGGGATGGCACCGGCGATGGTCGTGGGGATGGCACTGGCGATGGTCATGGTGATGGCACCGGCGATGGTCAAGGTGAAGGCAAGGGCGATGGGCATGGTGAAGGCACCGGCGATGGTCGTGGGGATGGCACCGGCGATGGTCGTGGGGATGGCACTGGCGATGGTCATGGTGATGGCACCGGCGATGGTCAAGGTGAAGGCAAGGGCGATGGGCATGGTGAAGGCACCGGCGATGGTCGTGGGGATGGCACCAGTGATGGTCGTGGTGAAGGCACTGGTGATGGTCGTGGTGAAGGCAGTGCCGATGGTCGTGGTGATGGTACAGTCGGTGGCTTTGGAGGTGACTCTTCCGATTACTTTAAAGGTATATTTGGTGATAAAAATGCTGGTGACTTTGGAGACGGTTGGCAAGCCATAACAAGTGATGACTTATCCCTTGGGGGAAAACAGGACATAAAACATGGACCTGACATAGTCGCAGAGGAAAAAGTTGACCAGAACCCTTTCCACATTAGGTATTTATAATTTGATGATGTTTTTTTTTTTCATTTCCACCATTTCCTCATTTATACAGATAATTATACAAAATGTTGAATGAAAATCATACAAAGTATATTTCGTCGAGCTAGGCAATTTACAGAGCAACTCTGATGTTTTAGAGGTCTGTGTTTGCTCTGCTCCCGACTTGTATTGTTTCAATGGGCTTTTGAGCTTGATTACTGTTCGTTAACGTCGTATTTCATTGTATAAAATGCAAGAAATTCAAAAATATGTATTTCTTGCATTTCACTTTATGTCTGACATTGATGAATTGTATACTGAATAATAAAAACTGCCATCGTCAATCTATCACATTAACTGGACAGATGTCGACTGCCTTGAAAATGTTCTTCTAAATACTGGTATAAGCTAAGATTTTCCTTTAAAAAAACTCCACTAATGTGAAAAGATATTCCAAGTCCATTGTTGTTACCGAACGGTGCTACATGCCATCAATTTTAACATGGAAAAGTAAATTGTACTTAAACTTTCATAGTAAGAAAACAAAACTCACGTCGGGGATTTGAATCCCACTACGGGACGTGGAGACCGGTTGATACCGTTTTAACCAAAGTCTCTTGTCACAGTAGGTTCTGGAATGAAAAAGATCGTTCACTGCTCAATATCCTCACGAGCATTAATAGTCCTCAACCTGCATCGATGGCGTCATGATTTAAGTGAAAAAATGAAAAAGTTTCCAAGGGGAGTAAAGCAAAATAAAAAAAAAAAATAAAAAAAAAAAAAAAAAAGGAAAGCAAAAAAAAAAAAAAAAAAAAAAAAAAAAAAAAAAGAAAAAAAAAAAAATCAAACGTTTATAATTTATTAATTTAAAAAATGTTTATTAGTATAAGAAGAATTTCAGACTCTCTTATATTTGCTGACGTATTCAGAGAATTACACACACCATCTTCATTAAACGTTTTTGAATTTATTTGGAGATTTTTGGAGCATTTCCAATATATGTTTTTACGCAGCTTTTGACATGTAAATTTCGTGCACAATCTCTCGAGTTTGTCAAATGTTTAGAATGTTCAAATCAGTGGCACGTTTGTCACTAAAATTGCATTTTTAGCATTGAATTTTTCTTTTAAAAATGTTGTGTTTCTTGAAGAGGAATCTAAAATGAAGAATCGCTCACATTTAAAAAAAAATCTTTCGATACTTTGTGAAATCTAGTGCATTAATACGCATTTAAAAAGTGTATCTAACAAAATTTCAGATAATTCTGTATATGTTCTGCAAAAATCAAAGCAAAATCTTAAAAATATTTTTCGATTTCACTTTCGCAAAAGATTAATAAATTTGAATGTCTTGGATGTAAAAAGTGCATAACATTTATGAAAAGAATATTTTACTTTAAAAACAACTTTTTGTAGGCATAAAATACTCATAGTGTATTTCTATTTTTCAGTGCCTTATTTCAATTAAAATTATCAAAAGGGTTAAATTTCTGTGGGTTCAGAAAAGGACAGAAGCGAGTGTTACCAAATCCAGATCAACGTCGTCTGTTGACAAAGTCAGCTAAAGGAAACTTCAATTATAACGATTTTATTTTCAACACTCCATCAAGAGGGAAAAGATCCGACTCAAAAATGACAAGGTTGGTTGATTCTTCTCAATATCATTAATTTTGTAGAGTGTGCTTTGGTTTCCCTGTTAATTTGATTCTTCATTTAAGAATACAGTCGTGTTTCATTAATATTTCTGTTTATGAATTATGTTACAGTATACCATATTTATATATTTTATCTATTAATCCATTTTTTATCAAACAGGAAAAAGTATAATTTTACAGACAAAAATCATCGCTGATATGAGTTTTGTTATGTTTTTTTTTTTTTTTTTTTTTTTTTTTTTTTTTTTTTCTCGATGATGATACTTCTTTGGGTTCAAATGGTAGCTATGAAATGTTGATAGGAATCTTAATAATATGTACATGTACATTTTTTTTTTCATTTTTATCTTATACTATAATAATTATTATACTTTTGACTAGATACAAGATAGAAAATTTTTATTTTTTATGAATACGCGACATCATATAGGAAGCTTTTGTTTCAGAATAAAAAGCAAACGCAGCGGAAGACCTCACGATCCACATGCTGAATGCGAGTTCCTGGATACAATCGAATGCGATGCTAGGTCTAAATTTAGAACTATTGATGGTAGCTGCAATAATCTTGAACACCCACTCTGGGGAATGGCTGAAACTCCTTTAGTAAGATTTATGCCATCTGCCTATGAAGATGGTAGGTACAGTTTTATCAAGCAGTTCTTTTATAATTATTGACTGAACTTGACAAAAGTCAAATTTTCTCTTCAGTTTTTAGCTCACCTGAGCCAAAGGCTCAAGTGAGCTTTTCTGATCACATTTAGTCTGTAGTCCGCCTGTCCGTCTGTCTGTCTGTCTGTCCGTCTGTTCGTCTGTAAACCTTCACATTTTCGACTTCTTCTCCAGAACCACTGGGCCAATTTCAACCAAACTTGGCACAAAGTATCCTTGGGTAAAGGGGATACAAGTTTGTTCAAATGAAGGGCCAAGCCTTCTTCCAAGGGGAGATAATTAAGAATTTGTGAAAAAATTAATTTCATCATTAAAAAATCTTCTTCTCAAGAACCACTGTGCTTGAAAATATGAAACTTATGTGGAAGCATCCTCAGGTTCAAATTTGTTCAAATCATGACCCCCGGGGGTCGGGTGGGGCCACAATGGGGGATCAAAGTTTTACATAGGAATATATAGGAAAAATCTTCTTCTCAAGAACAGCAAAGCCATGACTGGTCATATTTACATGGAAGCATCCTCAGATAGTGTAGATTCAAGTTTCTTCAAATCATGACCCCCGGGGGTCGGGTGGGGCCACAATGGGGGATCAAAGTTTTACATAGGAATATATAGGAAAAATCTTTAAAAATCTTCTTCTCAAGAACTGCAAAGCCATGATTGGTCATATTTACATGGAAGCATCCTCAGATAGTGTAGATTCAAGTTTCTTCAAATCATGACCCCCGGAGGTCGGATGGGGCTACAATGGGCAATCAAAGTTTTACATAGGAATATATAGGAAAAATCTTTAAAAATCTTCTTCTCAAGAACTGCAAAGCCATGATTGGTCACATCCTCAGGTAGTGTAGATTCAAATTTGTTCAAATCATGACCCCCGGGGGTCAGGTGGGGCCACAATGGGCAATCAAAGTTTTACATAGGAATATATAGGAAAAATCTTTAAAAATCTTCTTCTCAAGAACTGCAAAGCCATGATTGGTCACATCCTCAGGTAGTGTAGATTCAAATTTGTTCAAATCATGACCCCCGGGGGTCAGGTGGGGCCACAATGGGGGATCAAAGTTTTAACGTAGGAGTATATAGGAAAAATCTTTAAAAATCTTCTTCTCAAGAACAGCAAAGCCATGATTGGTCATATTTACATGGAAGCATCCTCAGATAGTGTACATTCAAATTTGTTCAAATCATGACCCCCGGGGGTCGGATGGGACCACAATGGGCGATCAAAGTTTTACATAGGAATACATGGTGAAAATCTTTAAAAAAACCTATTTCTTAAGAACAGCAAAGCCATGATCGGTCATATTTATATGGAAGCATTCTTAGATAGTGTACATTCAAGTTTGTTCAAACATGACCTTTGGGGGTCGGGTGGGGCCACAATGAGTGATTATAGTTTTACATAGGAATATATAGGAAAAATCTTTAAAAATCTTCTACTCAAGAACAGCAAAGCCATGATTGGTCATATTTAAGTGGAAGCATTCAAATTCCAATTTGATCATTTCATGACCCCCCCCCCCCACTTTTATTTTTAAACTTTTCAACCTTTCAAGACTGAACTGATTTCTGCTTTTTCCTAGCCATAGTGCTCAGGTGAGCGATGTGGCCCCTAGGCCTCTTGTTATCCTTGTTTTCTTTGAAATTTCAAATTAATTACAAATTTACAATTTGGGAAATCATTGTAGGTAGAGGAGCACCTCGAAGTCGAGGTAAATCTGGGAGACTATTGCCGAAGCCAAGGGAAATAAGACTAAAAATCCACGAGAAAAGTCTCCCTAAGCATCAGCTGGAAAATATCAATCATTTTGGAATGTCGTTTGGACAGTTCCTTAGTCATGACATGTTAGAAAATATAAAATCAGAAAGCAAGTACCTGTGTTTTGCCTAAGCATTGCTTTAAAAATTGTAAAAGCACTGTAATTTTAACATATGGAAATTAAGCTATGGAAGTTTTTTATTTGATTGACGTTTTTTTTTTTTAATTATATTATCATGAAAGGAAAAAAAATCTTCGACCGTTTGCATTTTTCTCTAATTCATGAATCACGATGTATTATCATTGCTGGATTTTCATTATAATTCATGCATGAAAAATTCAAAAGAAAATCTTTGCAATTGATGAATGAAATAATCTAATATAATAATATATTTCAATGAAAACTCTTACGTCATCGTCGGAAATAAAATGAAAAAAATCTAACTTCAGCACCTGATGGTGAGGACCTGGAATGCTGTGGAATACACAAAGATGACCCAAACTGTATCATGCCTATTGATGTACATCCTAATGATCTGTTTTTTGGACAGTTTGGTGTGACTTGTCTAAATTTTGCTAGATCTTTCCCTAGCCCTGACCTGCATTGTAATTATGGTAAATACATTTCATATTTACTAAATCACGGGGATATCGTATTCTCTATGTTTAGAAAAAAATATTCACTCAAAGAAACCTTCTTGTCTCTTATACACAGGCATAAAACAAAAAACCATTGTCGAACCCTGATACTAGTATTCACCATATTCTTGGTTCTTACTTTCATAAATATATTCAATGTGATGATTATTTGTTTGATTTTATAAATATTATCATTAATTTTCTAGTTGTGTAAAATTATTAATGGAAAAGGCGTAATTGATCGATCGAAAGCGGAAAAAATGCTGCTTCACATAAATTACTGCATTCAAAAATGTCATTTTAGGCATCTTTATCTGTCTATAAAAGCTAGATATGCTTGAAGTATATCCTATTCCCGTATTTATATTTTTCCTATTAGATCTCCAAAACACAAACAAACAGAACAGAATTCATATAACAAAAAGTAGAAACTTACTATATATTAATATATTAAAGAAATTAATGAAAGAAATAAAGAGTAGCAAAAATCAAAATCAAACGTAAAATATATACTCATTTTGTTTTAAGTGTGACATAGTGTAGCGCATCAAAATTTTGTTGAGTCTAACATTCTGCTCTGTCTCGAATTCCTCGTTGCAAAGGCAATTTTTTTTCCTTCAGATACCCGACAACAGATTACGGAATATACCATGCCTATTGATGTCTCCTCAACCTACGGTTCTAATGTTGAAGAATATGAAGGCCTTCGGGAAAACTCTTCAGGTAGGTGTTAATTTTTTGTATTTAGTTTTTAAAAGAAAATAAAGGTGTTTTTTTTCTTGATATAGACAATTAATTTTTCTCATAATTTAATAAAATTGAATTCCTCCATCTAAATTACCGTACATGCGTGTGTTGTAGGGCTACTAAGAGTGCAAGACCATCCTGTTGATATGTTGGAATTAATGCCTGTGGATCCAGAGGGTGGGGAAGATTGCCAGCCTAAGAGATTCCAGTGTTTCCTTTCTGGTACAATATTCTTACTATAAGTATATATTTAACGTAAAAATATAAAATTAACGAATAAGTAACAATACTGGTATTAGAGATAATGATTCTTTGTGTGAGTATAAGTTGACGTTGTCCTAATACTTTTTTTTTCGTTATAGTGTGGTGTGTAAAGTTCCACCACTTCTTTTAGTGAGTAGGGCTACACTCACATACTACGCTCACTTGCTTAACCCCTTCATCAAAGTAACCTAAACCATAATAGGTGTCAATAATTTATGTATTTATTTATTTAAAATTTTATTTATTCGTTCAATATCTATTAATTTATCTTTATGTTTGTTCGTTCATTTATTTATTTAACAATTTACTCAATATTTTTTTTTTGGGGGGGGTCAAAATTTACCTCAAAAACTTGGGTTTACCTTCACTATTTGATTAACCGTAATTAACCTTTGTATGTTAAGATGAAATAGCTGCTTATTTTAATATATATTCATGTTACTTTAAAGTTTACATCATGATTGTAAATTTGTTATTTTATCTTCAAACTCACTGATGAATTTATGCGATGAAACTATCAAAGAATACTATTAATAACAATGCACTTTTTATTCTCATTTCCTTTTGATTTTATATAGTTCCGTTTTAAAGATTTTTTTAATCATACATTGTCTTAAGGTGATGGACGTGTAAACCAAAACGCTGGACTAATCATGCAACATACTGCATGGTTAAGGGAACATAATCGAATAGCCAGAATACTAGAAGACTTAAACCCCCATTGGGATGACGAAAGATTATTTCAGGAAGCAAGACGAATTGTTGGTGCTCAGTTTCAACACATTACTTACAATGAATACTTACCCGTCATCCTTGGCCCAGAAATTATGGAACACTTCGACCTCAACCCAATGCCACCTGGAGAGTATTTTAAAGGCTATGACCCAAAGGTGATGTTGATGATAAGAGCCGGCTTTATGGTGGCTGCCTTTCGTTTTGGACATAGCATGATAAATGACAATTTTGGGTTCAGAAAATCAGACGGAAGTAACGAAAGGATTCCTCTGAGAAAATTGTTGAATAATCCAGACGATATATATAGAGAAGAGGGGTTTGAGAGAATTGTGAGGGGCTTATATGATGAGCATTCACAAAGTGTTGACAGGTATGTTTCTGTATATATGAGTAATTCTTCTATTCGCTATTGAATGAATAGTGCAGTTTTATCTTGTTCATGAATTGCTAATTGTGTTGCGCAGTTGTTAAAACGAAGGTCTCACTTCGTTCAAGATTATAGCGAGGGAAAGTTCGAATCCCATGGTGGGATGTAGAGACCATTCCCTTCAAGCCCGTACAAATCTTGATTACAGTAGGTTTCAGCAAGGAAAATGTCCTCTCAGTTCATTTTGTCTTTATAACCTCGGAAAATGTCGTAGTTGAAGTATCGTTTTTTTATTTTCTATAACGATTTTTCAATGTATCGAAGTTTAACTATTGTATTTCAAAGTCTCAAGATTTTAACCATACTAAGTTATAGTATGAAAGTTCTTTTTTTCTATTATACTAAATCAAAATATTTTCTTTACAATTTTTCATATATTTTATATTTTAGTAGCTCAAATGTGATTTTTATCTGTATTCAAAAATTAGCATCTTTGATACAGAAATACAGAGATACTGATACTTTAATTCCCCATAAAATTCTAGAAATAAACTAAAAGTGAATAAAGGTTTTAAAATATCTTTATTTCACTACAGTACATCTATGTTGGGAAGTGCCGAGTACAGGTTCGAGTAATCCGCCTACCACCAGCAATGGGTAGCATCCAATTAAATGAGTTATGAATTCTTGAAAGGTTGTAGAGCAGACAAACAAACAAGCAAATGAATCAAATCTGACTTTAGGGAAATTGTATCAACAAAGGTCCCAATCGGTTTGAAGAAAATGTCTTTGTTTATACACCCTATAACACAACACATACAATATGCATGATTCTTTTAAATTAGGAAACATTCAACATACATATACATGTAGATTGTTATAGCTTGTACTTAAAATGAATCAACTGGGTTTTTTTTTTATTGTAATGTAATGCTGATTTACATTGTTCAAATCTTTTTATACTAAGTATTAATGTTCAAACTAACCTTTCCCCTTCTAACGTATTTCATAATGCGACAAATCAGCAAAATGAGACATTAATTTGATACGTTCTCCATACGCAGGCCTCAAAAGTGACCTCTAAAATTTAAGCACCAGATTGCTTTTGTCCAAACAAATATTTATAAATAGTATAAAAGCAATGCTCAAATATTTTGGAGCCGGAACATTTTTTATAGAGCTATCCAAGTTTGTTTAAGTACTAGTCAGCAAACTTCAATGTGTCAGCAAACTTCAATGTACAGATCTATATTTTCGAGTAGCACATGTAAGAGTGAGTAAATTCAACATCTTGAAAAAAAGAAATTTATATCCCTCATAAATTTCATCAATCATAAACAAGCTGGGCAACAATGAAAATAATATTTTCTAAAGCGTTTCACAATTTTGGAGAAATCTTTGTTTGTAACTACCAATTTGTCAGTCGCAAAGTCAATTTAAAACAGTAATTAGTCCCTGATTTCTGATGCTATATAAGCACCAATTAGAAATTTTAGCCAACACGACGACTGGATCAGTCGCCATTTAGAACCTTGTGACCTTAAGAAATCTCGTGAAATATATTTTTTTAATTTAAACTTTAGATTCAAGACAGAGGAAGTAAGCAATCATTTGTTTGAAGAACATGGTAAACCAGGAACCGGAAATGACCTCATCTCAACTAATATCAACAGAGGGCGTGACCACGGCGTTCCTGGTTACATGGAGTACAGGAGAATGTGCAAGTTGCCCACATCAGATAGTTTCTGTGGCCTCACTGATCACACAAAAGATGTGATTAATCTTCTTAAGAATGTATATGAGTATGTAGGCATGTTTTTGTGGTTCAAATCAAAAGAATGATAAGTGCTTAATCCTTGAAAAAGAAATATAGATATAGAAATATAGATAATTTTTGATTTCTTATACCTATAAGCAGTGCAATGTTATTAAATAGATCTCCCAGAAAAGGTCATTACAATTTGCATTAAACTTTTTCATCGAGGATTATATATGTATGATGAATGTGACCAAAAGCAATGTAGAATCAAAAGCAATTATTTTGAAGTCTTGTGTCAAATACTTCAAAAGCGTATTATTTATAGATTAATTTCGGTAAAATTAAAATTCAGTGATCGTTATTAAGTGTACATATTACAGTTAAGCAATTGAGTTCATATATTTTATATATATGTTTTTGATGATTTTGTGTTCTCGCAGACATGTAGAAGATATTGACCTATTTACTGGTGGGGTGACAGAAGAACCACTTCCGGGGGCTGTTGTTGGCCCAACATTTGCCTGTATTATTGGACTTCAATTCAAAGCTCTAAAGTTTGGTGACCGCTTTTATTATGAAAATAATGAAGAAAACACAAAATTTACGATTGAGCAACTTAATGAAATCAAGAACGTAACACTTGCTCAAGTCCTTTGCAGAAATTCAAACATAGGAAAAGTTCAAGTAGATGTTTTCAAACATAGGTAAGTGTTTTGTTTTAAAGGGTATTTATCTTCACATGTTTTCCCTTATAATGACCTAGTTAAGATGATTACAATTTAGTAAATGATTAGGAAAAGTTGGGAAGCTTAATAGACAGTGTATGATGTCAAAATTACATCTTTAACATATATACCTTAAGTTTATATGACTCCTTGTTATTATGTTAGACTTTAAAATACAAAGGCAAATAAAGAGAAAACATAAAAAAGTCCCTCTTAAATACATCTACAACCGATATTGAAATGCCTTTTTTAAATATTACGTGAAATAGACTTGATAAGAAGTATCAAATATTTCCTTTTCTTAATGTTTGATTTTTTATAAATTTTTAATACCGTAGAAATATTTTGTCATTCCTTACATGTACATGTATGCCTCTTGTATAGATTCTAATAAAGTACAAAAATATAAAATATTTGATTACAAGATAAAATGGTAATTTTATAAAACGTAGCTAATACAAAAATTAAAACGTACAAATTTTTATTTTTCAGATCAGCTGAAGTGAATTGTTCATCCATCGAAACAGACATTGATTTTAGTTTTTGGAAAGATACATTCATACCTCAGAACTGAAATTTAGATCATGCCATGTATCACTGTTTTTATTCAATTTCTTGTGTAATTATACAGCATTAAAATGACATGAATTTTGAATCTCTTTTTTATTGTTACGATTTTAAGTTGTATATCTTGCAAAGCTTATCTAAGCAGTAAGGGGGCTGGTCGGCTTGTCAAGACCCTTTTTTGACTACAAACCTGCAAAAGAAATTTTGTGTAAAATACAGGAAATTGCATTACATAATATATTCAGTATTTTGTTTTACTAAAAAATAAAAATGTTCCATGGATAGATAAATCATATTTTATTGGCATTGCCAAAGTTTAAAAGACATGAGTTAAATAAATGGTTCGAAGTATTCTTGAAAAGAAGTAGATGTAGGGGAGGGTCAAGATGACTGTAAGACTTGTGTCTCATGACAAACTATGCACATGCTAAATAGCAAACTTACCTCTCATAGGCCAAAGAGTATGCTGTACAAGGACACAATGAACTATTTCGAAAAGTTGGTGAAAGGTCAAGGGTCAATAACCCAAATATATTTAACAAAAGTAATCAAACAAAGCAATATCTATGGGCAAAACACAAAACCCTGCCTCTTATAGTTCTCAGGATATAAGATGTGACAGACGGAAATACGAAAACTTGATAGTTCTAAAGATTAGAGAGCCGGACAGATAGACAGACAGGCAGACACAAAAAAATCAGATTCAGTGATCTCTAAATGCAGATGTCTTGCAAGCGACACAAAAGTGGTTAGGTGCTTCCTGGTTTCTTTACTTTGGAGCAAGATGGCCTTCTGTCCATTTTTTTTTAAATATTAGGTCAGAAATATCTATAGTAATTGTCACAGCCTTATAAATGTAGTAAAATACAACACAACACGGCTGCTGGGTTCGATGTTTATATATAATATATATTCTACGATTATGGAATTTTATAACATAGAAGGAAGGGTGACCTGAAATACAACAGGTATTAAATATCTCTCGCCTCACTCACACTTTTACGCAGATCATAATTTAAATTTTATAGATTTGGATAATTTAGAAAATACTCGTTTTGAATAAAATGATCAAATAGATATTGAATAATAATTGAACCCTTAGAAATAATTTACCAATTATTTCTTACCATAATTCCTAGACAAAGTTCACAATTATCGTGAGATAAAGTTGTGTTGGGGAGAGAGAGCGTCTTCTCTCCCCAAAGTCTTAGGTTGGAGTGCTCGAGAATTAGTATTGGCGCGAATGCGCAGGGGACAGAATAAAACCAGTTTGACCACTTACACACCCGTACTCTCACTGACCACTCACCCGTATAAATGAATGAATGAATGAATAAGGCAATGAATGAACGAAGTAAATTCCGTAGTGAGAACGGAATTCACTAGTTATTATAATAATATAATGTCTTAGACAAATGTATGAATATGATATGAATGATAATTAGTAATATTAATTAATTAATTATAATTCACCCTGTGACATAATTTTTATTTACCAAACAACTGACTTTCAGACATCCATTTCAGCTTCCTACATTTTGAATTTGCTGTTACATTATCCACGTTTGGCAGACTGTGTATTTACTAGTGTACATTCTGCATGAGGAGAAATACGGGAATTTTTTTATTTATGATATATTTCAGTAATATTTTGACGCAAAAAAACAATTGAGGAGGAAGTTTACGTGACCTAAGTGATAATGTATCTAAGAAAAAGGAGCATATCAACTAAATACACTGTTTAAAAATCATTATAAATTTTTCCTGTTTTACATAAATTGAAATACGTGTATACTATTTTTATATAGCATTTAAATAAACTAAGGCAGTAAAATACTTTGCGTCACGTGACTCAAGTCATTCAGCCCAAGTAAGTAAATAGAAAGTGGCTCTCTTATTACATAATTTTAAGGATAACCCTCAACTTGGAATTTCCAAAGGTAAGATTAAATTTTTTCCAGGGAAAGGTATTTCAAAATTACAATCCATCCAACAGAATATCGGTCAAATCCTTTTGGCAGGGAAAATATATGAAGTTATCAATGAAACATTTTATTATTTAAACGATAATTACAGGTATGTCTAACGAACCGAATCTCATCGACACAATAAAAACTGGGTACACTGGTCTACGCTGTATTATCTGTGTCAATGACGAAAAATTATGGACACGAGGGGAGAAAAGCATAATGAAACTTTATAATATTCATGGGATTCTTCTGAAATCAATTGCAACCAAGTCTGGAGAGAGACCACATGACATAACATTGACAGGGAATGGAGATCTACTTTATACTGACGCCGAAACAAAGACTGTGAACAGAGTGAAGAACAAAGAAACAGAAGAAGTAATCACGTTAAAAGAGTGGAAACCTTACTATATCTGCAGTACCTTTGCTGGTGATCTCCTGGTCACCATGTTTAGTGATGACGAAACTCAGTCTAAAGTGGTACGTTACAAAGACTTTGAAGAGAGTCAGACTATTCAGTTTGATGGGGAAGGTAAACCTCTGTTATCAGCCGATTATCTCAAATATATCACTGAGAACAGAAATGGAGATATATGTGTAGCAGACTTTGGTGGAAGTGTTGTAGTCGTTGTAGACCAGGATGGAATCCTACGATTCAGATATACTGGTCATCCCTCTACCACTAAGGGACCTTTTAATCCATATGGCATCACTACGGACAGCCACAATCAGATACTGGTTGCAGACTTGTATAACAACTGTGTCCACATTCTAGATCAGGATGGACAATTCCTCCGCTATATTGATACATGTGATCTAGAAAAACCATGGGGTTTATGTGTAGATACCAAAGACAACCTCTTTGTGGCAGAGTGTGAAGGTGGTAAAGTCAAGAAAATAAAGTACATGTAATAAATCGTTTGGAACCGATTAATACCGTGGAGTCATTTAAGAACATATAGAAAAATTGCACAGATGAAACGGAATTAATTGAATGTAACTCCTAATCAAAACGTCCACGATCATTACTTGTCTCCCATCATTTTAGGGATTTCCTTTTAAACCGGTCCCGTGAATGACGTTTAAAACATAATTCAAAGAACCTTGCTAAAATCTAGATCCATATTTAAAAAGAATACAATAAAGTTTTTTTTTTTTCGCGTAAACCTGAAATACGAAAATGAAAGTTAGAGTCGTATGTCAATATATGTTCGAGGAATCGTTGTCATTTTGAAAAATTACACGGGGATGAGAAGCTGTAAATGTTTATTGCCTATAAATGAAGTAGTATAAGTCAAACATAATTATACAATTCCATTCAGAAGAAATGAATAAAAGAAATTTGCTTAAATAAATAGTTACTACTCGTACGGACAATATTATCGAACAATTTTATATACTATGAATTTTCGAAATAGTTAAGTTTTAAAGACATATGCATCAGTGCCAGTACTTCTGTTTAAGACTGCGGAACATTAACTGGCAAAATTGGAAATATGCAGTTTTCGTCATTTCCACCTGTTACAGTCAAAACATTAATGATAGAGAATGCAATGAGTGGGTACAATTCCGGGAAATCATTGGATTGAAATTCTAGTCTAAAATTCATTTTCAATCAACCTCAGCTTCGCTAGAGCGCACGGTGTTACTGATTGACCCAGAAGACAAATAATTTCAATTTCGGAATAGTTCGAAATTTATATAAATCAGAATTTTCTGTCCAGTGTTGTTCAAGAAATATAAAGAGAAAAATATTTGATTTCTGTTTGGTATGTGTATTTTGAAGGAGTGGGGGGAGGGGGTGGGGGTGGCTGATAGATCTTGAAAATAAATAAGAAAGTTTTTTTTTTAGTTTGGACAACCCCTCCCTCTTTCTGTTTGTCAAACATTTTGCAATGAAGACAAATCTGAAAAAAAGCTCTTGTCATCCTAGAAATAAATATATTCTGTCATGTGAAGGCATGATCTGTCTCGGCATTTTTTGACACCCCCCCCCTTTTTTCTAGAATCAAGTGCCCGGAAATTATAGGCTAAAAACTCATATAAATATGAATTTCAAACAACACGTATATGGGAAGTGAAATCATTTGTCTTTTGGATCATACATTCACACTTTGCGTTTGAAAACAGCTCAGGTAGATTGAAGAATTTCGACTCCGTGAACAAGAAAAATAAATCTGCATGCATGTCAGTGTTCATCTCAAAATACAGAATCTGTATTTCATTTTTTTTTTTAATTACTTAAATCATTATAACTTCAAACAGGAATTTCGATTCAATGTTTTCTTGGACGTTCGTGTCGAATTGTACCCCCCCCCCCATTTCATCGTCTATCATTAAACATGTTGACTGTAACAGATGGAAACGACGTAAGTTGCATATTTCCAATCTTGCCAGTTAATGTTCCGCAGTCTTAAATTTGTAAGTCAACTATTGACCAGAAAAATAAATGAGTATTAAATATTCACATTTTTACTGCATAAAATATAGTACATGTATGTAACAGTACGGCAGATAAAATTTTGCTCTCAGCAGTTACCTTAAATGTATAACTGAGGATCGAAATGGGGATCTTTAATGACAATGTTGTAGTTTTTGACCAGGACGAACCTACTGGTCCACAGACTGATACAAAGGGACCATTTTATCCATTTGACATCATTGCAGGCAGCCAGTGTCAGATACTGATTGCAGATGTGTATAACAACTGTGTCTACATACTAAATCAAGATGGACATTTCCTCCGCTACCATTTATAAAACCATGGGGTTTATGAGATACCAAAGACAACTTCTTTTTGGTAGAGTGTGAAAGTGGTGAAGGAAAGAAAATTAAGTACATGCAAAATTAAGTTCAATTGGGACTGAAAAAGACCGTGGTGGTGTCATTTAAGAAAAGAAACAACAATGAATTAGGATTTATATACGAGTACATATACTGCGTATATTGGATAAGAAAAGAAAGAAAATTGAATTGTTTTCACACATTATAATTTTGCTTGTCTTTCTGTATGTAGAGGTTTTCCTTTGTGCGATTTAGCAAAATAATTGAACTTGAGTACATCACTTACTACTTTAGGTTTTAAAAGAACTTAAAGAATACTTTTGACACTTGATGATACGAAAGTAAAAGTTACGGATGCACATGCAAATGGGTTTTTAAGAAATCAATATCTCGTACACTTTATCGGTGATTATATACTTAGTGTAACTGCAAAATTATGTATATGTTGGTTGCAGTTAAGTATATGTCAGGTATAGTAACAAATTGTTTTCTAAAATAATTTGATTTGCTTTGTAAACCTTATTATTCAACTTATGCATATACATGTAAAATAAATTCAAATACATACATTTATGAAAGTCAAAATTACAATTTGAGTTGTTTTCAAATTCCTGTATTAGTAAAATGTTAAATATGTGAAAAAAATTGTACTACTATGAAATATAAAAATGAAAAACACATTCTACCAGGGTATGTGCCATGTGTTTAAGTTAATTTGAAAAAAAGGGAATATGGGCAAACAAGGCGTGCAGAATGCCTATAGCTTCAGATATATAAAAATCATACTTAATTTGTGAATTTAGTATTTGAAGTTCTCATAATTGAAATATATGAAATTAGCACAAACAAACCTTTTCTGCGGAAAATTTTATCGGCAAAAATTATTCTATTAGTTAAAAAAATATTTATGATATTCTTGGGGTTCGAACCCTAGCAATAAAAAAAGTATCGTTTTCCTATGAGACTAACACGCTAACCATTACGCTACACAACTGCTGAAAAATCATGTCTGTAATATGGCCCTTGACTAAATGGACTTAATTATTTCTCGGGAATTTACAAATGCTGTGTAATTACAATTGTATCCTGTATTTTTAAAGTAAAGTGATTCTCTGCTCCATTTTTTTTTCGTTAACCAAACATGTATATTTTTACGCATACTTTGAGGAGAAGCTTTAAAAAGAATAAATAAATAAATAAATAAAACGGAGCGAAGATCCCTTCATATGGAAAAATTGAGTTATGAAAAAATGACCTTTTAGCAAACTTTGGTGTGTGTATGCTATTTCAAAGACATATAATCTCAATCTTTGTGAGATTTTTGCAAATTGTGGAGGTTTTACATAAAGTATACTTTAATATCAGATGAAATATCAAAGAAAATATTGTAATAATCGAGATTTAATTTTCACCTTCATATTTGTCGCACCATAGGCATTTCGCTCGCCTTGTTTGCCTTTTTTGGGGGGAGGGGGGTAGTTTTGTTGTTTGTTTGTTTTTTCTATATTATTATTTCATGTTATTATTACACATGTATATCAATAAAACACACACACACACAAGTACAAACTTAAATGTAGGATCGCAAAAATACAGATCTTGCTACAGTGTAGCACATTTTATTTAAGCTACAATATACCATGTTATTACATCACAGGATCATTTAAAAATCATCTATTACACTAGCTACAGATTAATATACTCTTCCTATTTCCATTAAATTATGAAACTTTCACAATTGTTCCCATTTTAATGAAAAGAAAATATTACTGCTACAACGAAACACATGAAGGAAGACAACCCTCACTGACGTAATGATTTCTAAGTAATATTTATCTTGGCATTATACACAGTTATTTTCCTTTTGCTACTTACACTACATGTACATCTATCATCAATCGTTCACCTTATGTGTATGCGTCAAATTTATGAAGGGTTCCCGAGACAATGAAAAAAACAAACAGTTGTCTTTACAAAATTCACCATATGACAGCCCGCTCCGTTTCCATTATTTCCAAAAGATTGATATTTATAGGATGTTAATTTTATTCATCTATTTAAAAAATGGAATTTAATCAAAGTTACAATAGTTTTTAAAACGATTTATGTGTAAGAAAGCATGCACTACTTCGATCGCCAACGAGAAATACATAACATACTGATGAACTCATTATCTTAACTTTCAGTTAGGTTTATGAATACCTGCAAGCTACAATTATTCTATAAGTTTGATTTAAATAATATATTCGCTCGTGATATTGACTGGCATTAAAAATAGCCAAAAAAAAAAAAAAAATAAAGACTGAAGTTCATTCCAAATATGATTATACTTTTTACTTTATTATAATATGAAAAGGGGGGGGGGGAAGAAACGCATATTTTACTTTTTTGCACCATGTTATCATACATGTTCATACACAGAAGATCTTAGCTCAAGAGAATGTTTTATTGGTCTGGACGATTTCCATATATAGAAGTCAAGAACGATAACTGAAAGTTGCTTTAAATAATTATACTTTAAATACATGTAAATATTTTTCTGCCGAATTAGAAAACAGCATTATCACACACCCAAAAACAGTTCACGGTAGCTCAGTCGGTAGAGAGCTCGCTCCGTGATCAGAAGGTCGTGTGTTCGAATCAGGGCCGCGACTGACCTAAGTCGATAAAAAATAGGTAGTAGCGGTTCCTTCGCCAAGCGCTCGGCACTTTGAATTCTCGAATGGGACGTAAAACAACAGACAATCAGTCAAAGGAACAGATTGATTTATTGATTGTATGTTGTTTTACGTCCCATTCGAGAATTTTTCACTCATATAGAGACGTCACCTTGTACCGGTGAAGGGTTTCAAATGTTGACCTTTACTCGGGACTCAGGGCATTTGAGCAGTGAGGGATCTTTATCGTGCCAACGCCTGCCGTGACACGGGGCCTCGGTTTACAAGGACTCATCCGAAGGACCCGCAACTTTCACTTCAAAGTGCCAAGCGCATGGCGAAGGAACAGCTGCTACCCATTTTTTATCGACTTAGGTCAGTCGCGACCGAGATTCGAAATCATGATCTCTCGATCGCGGAGCGAGCGCTCTAACAACTGAGCCACCGTGAACGGTCAAAGGAACAGAAAGAGAACACGATCTTATTCCCCCTCAAAAAGATTTTTTTTTTTTTTGACCAAAAATCTTGAGAAGAAAATGAAAAGTTTTGAAGAATAAGAAATTTTCCACATATTTACCGTGAACAAACGTGACATATTCATCTCGGAAAAAAATCAGCATATTACATGTAATGCAAGCAACAATGCGATCGTTTTAGAAATAGATCACACTGTCAAAACAATACTCGTATGAATTACATTTATAACATTTAACAGAAAATGAGCTATTTTGGTAAATATAATTTCGCTTCCGATTTTCATCAATAACGTGAAGATTCCATGCGTATAGATCTATTAAAGACAAGTGTTTATCGCATGCATATACTAGTTAGTCCCCTACCGGTGAAACCGGAGGGGACTATAGGTTTCCTCTGAGTCTGTCCGTCCGTCTGTCTGTCTGTTTGTCTAGCTGTCTGTCAGTCTGTCTGTCTAGCTGTCCCTCTGTCTGTCCCTCTGTCAGCCTGTCCCACTTGTTTTTTTTTAAACGCTTGCAGATACTGAGCTGATTTTTGGTATGTAGGTGTATCTTGATGAGTTACAGATCAAGTTTGCGTTTCGTTCCCCTTCAATGATTTTTTACGGAATTACGATCTTTTTAATTTTTCAGGGTTTTCCGCATTTTTTTCCTAAACGCAGCCATAGATCAAGTTTGCATTTCGTTCCGCTTCATTGATTTTTGACGGAATTATGGCATTTTTAATTTTTAACGGGAACCAGATTACACTTGCCGGTAGGGGACTAGTATTGCTAATGCAATACTCTCAGAATGCTTGTTTTATAATATCACGGTTTACAAGTGTGCTGAATACCACGTTATATTTGCACTGTAAACGGAATTAATGAAAGGTGTAAAAGGTAGGGAAAGGGAATGAAGATAAATGCTTTTTATCACCAAAACTTACCACGCATACCTGAAACTAGACGATTTTGTTACACGGGAAATACATGTACGGTATTTAAGACTGTTATATCTCTTTAATGCCAGGCTCTAAAAAATGAAAATCTGCCGTATTTATATCAAATTTCTTAACACAAGTTTAAACTATTGGGATTACTACTTGGCAGTGACAGATTTTAATCCCACGTAGAATTTATTGTAAGCTTTCAAGTCGTATTTGTTCACAATTATTATACAAGAGGCCCACGGGCCTTATAGGTCACCTGAGTATCATATTACAACTTTCCAACAATTGAATTTGGTTCGTATTTTAAACCAGAGGCCCTGAAATTCACAATTTTGAAAGAGGCACGATTGCTCATCATAACTATACAGTTAGCATGCTTACTTTGATTACTTAATACCCAGAAGCAGAGCAGAGGAACAAAAAAAATCCATTTCCACTATATGAACAGTAGTGCCCCACCCTGACCCTGGGGCCACACATTTCACAATTTTGGAAAAGGCACCCTTGCTCATCATAAATGTTTGATTAATACCAAAGAGCAGATTTGAAAGCATCAATTCATTTTCACTATATAATCAATAGAGCTCCCCCTCACGGTACCTCTGACCCAGAGGCCATGAAATTCACAATTTTGGAAGAGGAACCCTTCCTCATCATAACTATGTACTTAAATCATCAGCATAATACCCAGAAACAGAGGAGAAGATTTTCAAAGAATTAATCCATTTTCACTATATAATCAATAGAGTCCCACCCTAACACCAGAGCCCCTGATCCAGGGGTCATGAAATTCACAATTCTGGAAGAGGCACCCTTCCTCATAATAACTATATACACAGTTCATTAGCTTAATACCCAGGAGCAGAGGAGAAGATTTTTAAAGAAATAATGCATTTTCACTGCATATTCAACAG